CACACACACACACACACACACACACACACACACACACACACACACACACACACACACACACACACACACGCTCTCTCTCTCTCTCTCTCTCTCTCACTCTCTCTCTCTTACAAACACCTACAATACATACACACACGCACGCACAAACACACACATACATACATACATACATACGTATCATACCTACCTACCTACCTACCTACCTACCTACCTACCTACCTACCTACCTACCTACCTACCTACATACATACATACATACATACATACATACATACATACATACATACATACATACATACATACATACATACATACATACATACATACGGGGGCTATCGTGGCCTAGAGGTTAAGGTGTTGGCCTCTCATTTAAAGGTCCCGAGTTCGAAACCGGGTAGCGACCAAAACATTTTCTTCTCTAAAATTGTCTCCTTTCACCTCCTTCCCTGCTCTCTAGCAATGTTCTGTTGTCTGCTTTCATTTCCACTTTCTGCCCCCACCCCCTCACCTCCTTTGCCCCCTCCTCTGGGCTCCTGGCTCTTTCTGCAGCCTTTCTACTGCTACTCCTTGGCTCCTTACTGCTGCCTTTCTGCCACACCCCTGATCTTCTGGTAGGAAAGATCTACACCTAGCCTTCTCGGACAAGGGCGAAAAATCTCGGAGGGCCCGTGTGCAAGTTGCGCACGTTAAAGATCCCTTGGTGGTCTAAAATCGATAAGAGTAGGCTTCGACCGCCACCCGGGCAAAATTCCAAATTTCCTACCAACTGAAAATATTAGGTGTGTCCCGCGCGCTCATATGACCTATGCAGTTGCGAGCGCCGTAAGACACTTTACAAAAACAAAACAATACATACATACATGCATACATACATACATACATGCATACATACATACATACATACATACATACATACATACATACATACATACATACATACATACATACATACATACATACATACATACATGCACACACACACACACACACACATACATACATACATACACACATACACAGACGCACACACACGCACACACATTCATTTACACATAACACATGTACAAACATGCACACTCATAGAACTTAAATATGCAAGCCATATGTGACACTACATAAGTATTTAATATACATTTAGAACACATGCAAACAAAAGCTTTCAAGGACTATTCTTAATGCAACTAAAATGCTAAGAAAGTGCTAATGGGTGGAAAGATAAAGAGTAAAAAACAGCAGAGGAAGACAAGGAACGAAATACACAGATGGCCAGAACAACTTTGCACGAATAACACAAGGAGAAAAACCGAGCTGATCAAGAAGACAGACATCAGGAAGGAGTAGGGTACCATGATCGTCAGTAGATAGAGAAGGTCCAAAAAGGCCGTGTTTTGGGTACTGGTCTGAAAAGGCCTTGTCTTGGGTAATGATCTAAAATCGAGGTGGTTTTGGGTAGTGTTCTAAATGGAGCTGGTTTTGGGTAGTGTTTTTTGGTCGAGGTGGTTTTGGGTAGTGTTCTAAATGGAGCTGATTTTGGGTAGTGTTTTAGTGTCGAGGTGGTGTATGGTAGTGTTGTATGTGTATGTGATTTACGGGGGGAAACAAAAAGTTGCGTTGTTTTAGATTGAGTAGAAAATGTTGATGTTGTGGGTTTAGGTGGGAAGTGGTAATGTTCGAGGTATCCCGTGTGGTTGTTGTTGTTTTTTTTTTGGTGATATGTTGGAAAAGCAGCCCAGGCGCCCGGGAAAAAAGATGGTATGTTTTTTGTTTTATGTGATCCTGCCCCACGAGTTTTTTGTTGATCTTTAAATTCCTTAGTATGTGTTGGTGACGTGTGTGAACACATGGTGTGTTGGAAGTAAACAGATAGATGTTAAGCTTAATACATTGGTTTAAAACAATTTTTTCTAGTAAAGGAGATGGTTGAGTGGAGTGAGTTGAACTTTTGTTAGAAATAAGGGCTTTAGCAATGTTTAGTGAGGTAAACTAAGAAAGTTTAATTGGTGAAGAAGGAGTTGATAATGTTTAGTGAGCTGAGCTTAGAAATGTTATTGGTAAGGAAACTGTTGGTAGTTTTTAGTGAGTTGAATTTAGAAAGTTTATTGGTAAAGAAGGCTTTGGTGGAGTTTAGTGAGTTGAGCTTAGAAATTTTATAGGTAAAGAAGGTGTTAGTAGTGTTTAGTGGGTTGAACTTAGAAAGTTTTATTGCTAGAGAAGACATTGGCAGTGTTTAGTGGGTTGAACTTAGAAAGTTTTATTGCTAGAGAAGACATTGGTAGTGTTTAGTGAGCTGAACTTAGAAATGTAATAGGTAATAAAGGGTGTTGGTACTGTTTAGTGAGCTGAACTTAGAAATGTTATTATTGGTAAGGAAACTGTTGGTAGTGTTTAGTGAGCTGAACTTAGAAATGTAATAGGTAATAAAGGGTGTTGGTACTGTTTAGTGAGCTGAACTTAGAAATGTTATTATTGGTAAGGAAACTGTTGGTAGTT